CCACTCTTTTTTTTTAGCATTCCAGAGATGAACATGCTGCAGTGCTTTAGATCGTTTCCCTGCTGGGCAGAATGACCAAATTGTACTTGAGGTCACAAAGTAACCACCAGGCATTCTCCTTTAGGATTTTCTTGGAAATAAAATACATTTTATCATCAGTTTAAAAAAGAAAAATCATGAAGCACCAGATGATTGTAGAACCATCACATTGTCACCACAATTTTTTAAAGTCTGCATAATGATATATTCCTAAAATGCTGTTATATGCAAAGGTTTTTGCTATATTCTTTCTAATCAACTGAAATTTTCCAAAGAGGCTTTAAAACATTAACAGCACATCTTTAGTCAAATGAGAGACAGATCTGGTCATTCCATTTACTGTATCTGTCACGGCTCAGAACAGCAGAACCAGTACTTCAAAGCAAGACAGCCAGTGGGATTACTTTTATTAAGAACTTTGGATCTGCACTCACAGCAGCAAGGGTGTCTATTGCAGGAACCTCTGCAGAAAGGAAAGACGGGTTTTAAAAACCAAAAGGAGACCAGATCCGGGCAGATGAAGGAGGGCAGGATAATCCAGAGGGTGAAGCCAAAGCCGGTGTAAAGGACATGCTCAGGATTCAGAACCAGGAGACCAAAGTTCGAAGAGGTTCCAGAGCAAAATCCAGATAAGAAACCCATCCAAGTTCGTTAAGCAGGCAGAATCCAGCAGTAATCCAAAAACAGGTCAGGCAAACAGATCAGACGGGAACAGGCAACCTCAGTGGTTGAGAGGCAGGCCAGGATCAGGTAGTCAAAAACACTAAGGTAACACTGAATCACTCTCACCACATATTCGTGAATAATCTCCACTGATAACCGGAAGCGGGCAGGTTAAAACAGATCAGACAGGAACAGGAGGGCTCAGTGGTAGAGAGGCAGAAAAGGAAATCAGAAACACTAAGGTAATGCTGGACACACTCTCCTCACTGGCTCAAGAGAGATAATCTGTCCCTGATGACTGGATGCAAGCACCTTAAATAGAGGAAGGAGTAGGTGGATCAGAGTTAGAAAGGTGAATTAAATTCATAATTAAGCCAGTCAACAGTGCCATCATGACAGTATCAACAGAAGAAAATCAGAACTCAGGCTTTCTTTTTTGTTTTATAACAATAAAGCCAAGCTTTTAACAATGTTCTTTATCAGGTCCACTTCAGATAAACCTGCTAAACTCCTAAATTGTCCTTCTACTAAAGGTTAATCATTTTGTTCAGGTGAACTTACACTGATTCAAATAGCAAATTTAGCTGTTCATTTGGTAAAATAATTGAATCAAAAGACAAAATTATCATGGAAACTTTATTAGGCGTGAGCCTATTTTGGTCTATTTTGTCCTTTCTTGGCCAGTTTTTTTTTTAATACTTAGTTTTATTTCATAACTCACTGAAGTTTAGCTTTTATATCTTCTGACAGTCACCCAGGCATCAAAGTTTGGCTAAAATGGCTTAGAGCTTCATGCTTTTTATTGCTCCCAACAAACCAGTATTGTGAACAGACCATTTAATTGCTGTTTTAATGTTGTGTCTGATCCCAGCGCACACTTTAGATTGAAATAACTTAAACACAGTGGCCAAAACATTATCACACCCTCTTGATTAAACATACTATTTTTAACTTGACGAGTCAATTTAAGTTACCACAGCTTTATTTGGACAGACAGCCGTGTCCAGTGCTCATAAACTGTGCGTTACATTTACATTCCTTTCAGACCTCTGTTCCTCTGAACACTCCGCTGCACTCAGCTTACATTAACAAAGCTGCCTCGCACAAAATTACAGCAGTCTGACGATCTCACCAGAGAAATGTTTCATTGGAATGATCTGCTTGACATCACTTTTCAGCCCTTTTATCTGGAAATAATTTCTAAAACTTTCTAAATGTCAGAGCCAGAGCTTTTACACAGCGGGTGTTTAATGTTTTGCTAATAACATCCTTTCATTCATTAAACTTTCTTTTTAAGGTTAAGGAAATGCATCATTATTTTATTTTACAAGTTTACATTGAATGGGTAAAGTGAGTATATTTTGACTTAGATTAAGTTACACTTTTTTCATAGTACAGTATATAATCAATATTATTTTTCATTTTATTTTTCATTTTTTTTTATTATTTCATACTATATCTAATGTTAAAGGTGTCTATTCTAAAAATAATAAAAGTAAAAAAAAAACAACAACTGTGTTTTCATCTGCTCATCAGAAGCCCAAGGGGATACATTTAAGAAGACGGGGGTCTGCAAAAAGACTACATCCTACTGAATGCTTCCTACTGGTCTGCAAGGTACTGCTAAGCAGTATTGCCAGCTTTGATGAGGTTCCATTCAGTTGAGTTTTTTTTAACACCTTAGGCAGGGAAATATGCTTTGAGGCAGAATGCTGAAAGTTGGGCTGCTTTTTACAACATTAGGCACATTTTGTGTTTGTAAGTTTTAGGCTTTTAACATAAGATACAAGAAAGGCGGTCAGACAGATCTGTCAACCTTGTAGTGCTGTGTTTGTCTGCCTTAAGTTCAGGACAGGTGCAGTTATCCTACCTAATAATATGTTATCAACAACAACAACAATAATTTCTTCAGTTTTACTGAATGTTTGACACAACGGGGAAAGGGCAACAGGTCAATGCTAATGCTATTAGCATCCTTTGAAACATTACTATTAACTCCCGGGTGGACTGTGGTTTACCTTGAACAACATCCTCAAAACAACCCCCAAGCATTCCCCAGAAATTCAGTGAGGCTGCTCACTACTCCAACATACAGCTGTTCTGCGAGGGACCATCAATAAATATGCAAACTAACAGTGCTGACAAACAAAGTTGAATAATTTTCAATTATTGTGACCTGTTTACACAAAATGAATGTCAAAATATTATTTTAGACTATAAAGACAAGGCAAACTCCCTTTTGTCCAATTTTGATACATTTTCTATTTGATAAGATTGTCGCTTCAAAAGCTTCAAAATTTATACTTTTCTCAAACAGCTTTTAGGTTATGTGTGTGACACAAAACTAATGTCAAATCATTTTACTAGACCTGACAGACGATCTTGGCTTATTTATCACTACTGTGGCTACTAAACATATCATTCCAACTTTCATGTAAAGCCCTCTAGTTGGAGGGCTGAACATGAGGTGGAGGCTTGTGTGCAAACTTTGAGTCACACTTGGATTTATGAAGGAAGATGGCTTGGATTTATGTGTGAATATGGTTTTATAAATAGTTTTATACCATTTTCAAATGTTTGGCGTACAAACACTTTTAGTCTGTGTGTTTTATAAATGAGAACCGTGGACTTGGATTACAATGCACAAGTCCAGAGAAGTGTTACACACAGAGATCTCAACCACTGAGTCTGTGTTTTCTTGACATTCATCAGGAAAATGATGCTGTAATCTATATCAGAAACATAAAAAAAACAAATGGACTCAGGAACAGTTAATTTCCCAAAGCTATGTAAGCGATCGCCCCCACTGCCCCACTGCAGTCACCCACATTTCATCATACTTTCAAGTTGACACACTCACTTCTTCTCAGTGAACAACATCATATACACACGGAACACCCTTGCTTACGATCAAATAAAACCACCTGCCAATTTTATAATCAGTTTCAGCACAGCTGCACTTTATATAAGCACTAAATGCTACAAATCTATGTCTATATTGTCTTCCAAGGATGAAGGAGAAGGATGTTTAATATTTAATACTTTTGGTATGCCTTGAGGGCACTTTTTTAATTACATTTTTGGGGTCATCTCTAAGAATGCTAATTTTTCTCACATATGCATTCTTAGCAGGGGTCTGACAAAAATTAACTATAGGATACCCCCCACCCCCACTCCCAAAAAAAAAGGACAAGACATCTTAACTGGATTGAGAAAGAAGACAACCAGTAAGTTAAGATCCGGTATTTTCCATTTCATACTGTATATATCAAAGCATTAATATTGTGTTGGTGTGGGGGTAATTTCAATTTATCCATGAGTGCTCGTTGAAAGAGCTTAGTGTTTCCTACCCTAATATAATTCACAATCACAAATGATTCACAACGACAAGTCAACATTTTCCCTAGTTCACATAATCAATAAGGAGGAGCTCCTATCTGCTTGCTGGGTTCTCTTGTCTGTTCAACTCAAAATGAAAAACCTTAATTTTATCGAGTTAGTCAAGATGCTGTACGTAATGTGGAGCACCTAACAATGGCATTGGTGTCCATGGGTCGACAAGATCCTCCAGAGAGGCTTTAGATTTGGCGAGTATCAATGATTACTCCAGGAGCTGCAGCTGGATGATGGTCACCTCCAGCAGTATTTTCCACAGAATAAGGACATAACATGTGTCAAGGGATGAAATCTGCTGTGAGTTTTTGAATGAAAAGAGCTTAGTCTCCGCTGCGCTTCTTCACCTTGCTTCACAACCAGAGTCAGTCCCTGAGTAGTTAATGCAATGAAAATTGAGATAACATGTCATATTGTTGAAGTCGCTCTATTTGCAGATCCACTGCACAAATTGCAGTTTTGATTTGCTCCATTTGCCCAGTCAGTATCATTCATATCACTTGAAATGCTATCTTCACAATGCAGACTGTTAATTTGCTCCTGATTGTGGCTTTAAATAGGGAAACCATTCGCTCCATTCATTTCTGTTTACTGCAGTACATTTACGAAAATTTCCTGACCATATTCGTACATTTTTTCTCTATATCTGATTAAATCAATATCAATCATGAATCAGAATAAAAGAGAATGAGTGAATTAAACCTGTATGAGTGAAAAATCTGAAAAATACATATTGATCAAAACAAAAAAATGCGAACAGCAAAAATTATCCATTGCTGTTTATCTAATACTAATATATATATTGTATAGAAGCTATCTTTAAATGCCATTATCAAAGAGTTCTGCTAAAGGAAAAAGCACAATTTTGAAAGTAAACCATAGGAAAAGGTATGCATTAAACTTACCATTGAAGGCTGAGTGGAACCAGGCTGAACTTTTCCGCTTGCCTGTCCGAAGGCGATCCTTTTCCTCCTCATCCTGAGGAAGACGTAGATTCGGATATATACCAGCAGAGTGACGATGAACGGCAGGTAGAAAGACACCACGGAGGAGTATATCACAAAGTCAGGGTTTGAAATAGAGCACACCAAAGGATCATCTGTGGTAGAAAAACAGGGAAAGTGTCTGTGCATTACACAATTTGTCCAGAGAGTTTTAAGGCCTAGTTAAGCAAAAGTGTGATTTTCTGGTATCAAGAAGGTGGATAACACGGACACGTCAAATAAACGCAAGTTCAAAGAAGGCATCACCTATCCTGAAACAAAATATAAATGGTGTCAGTAAGATATGGCAGATTTTTTCTCCTTTTATACTCTTCACCGAAGTAAATCAGTCTACAGTCATCAGTGCATTTAGTGCGTAGTCACATTTTCCAACCCAGTTTGTAATGTTCCACTACCTCTGAACAGCTCTTCTTTAGGATTACTTTTTATTTATCTGCGTCCATCTTTGCAGCATCTTACACTTTCTTATCTGCCCCTGCTGAGGAAAAGCAACCAGACAGCATGATTCTGTCATCACAATTTTCCATTCATCTTGCTTTTTTCAGCTGTTATAGCATGCAGTTTTAGCAAAGTCTACAAAAACTCTGTTCACTTTGCCAAGTGTATGATAAATTTATCTCTCTTTAATCTACCTTCTGTAGAGCTCTCTAGTTGTGACTTTTGAGCTGCTTCCATATTTATGGGACGCCACAGCAGGTCATAACAACTTATTCAGTCTAGGCAAAGTTTTCACACTGGATTCCACTTCTGACATTTGAGATTCACACCCTGACATTACAGTCAGAGGCTTAGACCACTTTACCATGGGGATGGTAACTTGTGCAGAATAGTAACTGTTAGTTGTTTATCTTTTGTTTTGACCCTTCATGTACTTCGATATTAGGGAGCATCACAGCCCCAGGATCATGGGATCCCGCTTAAAGAGCTACAGGGCATCAGTTCCAGTAGACCTGTGACCTTGATTCTTTATGCTCTTTGATATTGTGCATATGAATGATTTAACAGTAATCCATCATGAATTCAAGATACGAATATGCAGCAGAGCATGTTATTGAATTAAAATTCCAGAGTTAAATCTCCACAAGGTGAGCTTATATAATTGTAATTTAAAGCAATTTGGCAATAAAGAAGGGCCGCCTCTTCAGCTTTTAAGTGAACAATATGTCTGGTCTCTGAAACTGGCTCCTATTTTTGATTTATATTATCAAGTCATTCAAGCTGTCAGTTACGCTGCTTTTTCTTCCAAGTTGTTAATTTTCATTGCATTGCACTCAAAGAAAGACAAAACGTCTGAGCCCTGATGTGAACCCACCAATCTAGCCATCCATCCAACACATAGCACCAAATGGCAAAGTTTCTGCAATCAGTACTTGTTTTATTATTTAATTATGATTACAGTGGGGAAAAGAAAATGCGTTTAATTGAAGCAGTCTGTTATTATGTCTGTCATTATTTTTAATTAAACAGTTGTGCACATTCACTTCTGCTTTTTGATAGGCACTTAAGATGCTGCCCAGTAATCTATTGTTTGGATGTGGGTTACTGTTGTAAGGATACTATCATGTTTGTCATCAAGGAAAATATGAGTGATTAAGAGTGTGTTTTATGTATAAATATAAATAACAAATAATAAAACATTTTCAAATAAAGAGTCTTAAAAGTTTGAAGCACATTAGTGAAGTAGCTTTTTAGAACCACTTTTTAATGCAAGTCATTTTTGTTGAATCTTTTTCATTTTTCTCTTAAACCTTTGTCTTCAAAGTCCCAAAGAATATATTTAGAATGAGCTTTATTTAAGAACTTCAACTTTTACTAAACAGTTTGTCAGGTGTGATCAAACCTTTCCATATGGATAAGTGAGCAGCTTGTAGCTAACGATGGAGCATTCTGAGGTTAAGGGTCCTGATGGACCCAGATGATAGGTGCTTTTAAACTGAACACTTTTCCTTCCCGGAGCAATTGATTTACATGTTATACCTATGGAGAAAGTGACTTAGGAGTGCAGCAAGGCAAAATGAGGAGAAGCTAAAAGAAGGATGCAATTCTAGCAAGGCAAATGTCATGTTTTTGATGACTCCCAATCTGCAGAATCTGTTAGTTCAATCTCTAACGTTATGCTCTCTCTGCTTTTTCTCATAGTAGCTTTGTCTCCTCTATTCCTGTTTGGCTGTGACGCCATCCTGGAGAGAAATATCAGCTGTACTACTGCCATCAACATCCTTGTTTATAGATGCTGGAGATCGGCCTGTTTTTCCAGTGTAGTCCTGTTTCTCTGACCGTGACTGGCTGGATGTGCTCTCTTCATCCTCTGACATGGGAGTTGGCTCGGAGCTCGTCTGCCTGGCTGTGTGTTTCCTGGACGGGGCCGCCTTTTACAGTTGCTTTTTGTATCTCTGCTTCTGTCTCCTTGAACCCCAGTCGGCCTCGGCAGATGGCCGCTCACACTGAGCCTGGTTCTACTGGAGGTTTCTTCCTGTTAAAAGGGAGTTTTTCCTCTCCACTGTCGCTACAAGCACGCTTAGTGTGAGGGATTGCATTTGAGTCAATGAGTCGATGCAATCAACTGGTTTTCCTTAGATAGAAAACTAGGAATCAATTTGACTGTATGATCTGGTAAACTGTAAAGTTCCTTGAGATGACATGTGTTGTGAATTTGCGCTATAGAAATAAACTGAATTCAATTGATTTGAATTTAGTGCCACCTCCTCCTCCAAGGATCGGAAGCCAGTGGATGAAGGTTAGGAGTAAAGAGGAAAATGTCACGCTGATATTGCTCACATTTACAGTGAAGATTTGTTTACTCCAAAGATCTGAATGGCTGTGTACATACATGTAGACACTAATCGGAAAGGCGATTGGCAAATCCACCTCTCTCTTTTGGAATGAAAATTCTTTGCAATTGGACTGAATTTAATTAGACAGAATTGTCAGTCTGACATGTTTACATGAAACATTTTTTGATCTAATCAGGCCTTTAATCCATGTTTTTGTCCATGTAAACGTAGCTAGTGGTTTAGGAGGGAGTATATTTTCCAAATGTTTGCAGAAAGAAACTCTTTTGGACAAGATTTGGACATCTCCACTCCAATTTGCTCCATTTTAGTCCTGACTGCATGTTACAGCTCATCAGCCTTCTAGAACATCAACACCCATTTCAAGCACTGTTCTGTATATAGTACTTTCCTCAGCTGACATCCTATAAACTCTAACAGGCTGCAACCCCGCAGCATGATGCTATCAGCACCTTCACTTATGAAGACAAGTGATTGTACTACATTTTATTTTACGGTATTAAATTTGAGAGGTTAAAAATAAACATACTTCAAAAAGGTTTGCATAAAAATTGTTGAAAACATGCCTTGTCTATTCTTTTTGCATTTCCATATGATACTTAACGTTGTATTATTCTTAGTTGGCTTAAAGACCCAAGAATGTATTGTCCAATTGAGTTTATAAGAGAGAAAAGGAGTACAGACAGTTTTGAAAGGTACCTTCAGCATCATTGAAGTGTTGTAATACACTGTCCTTCAGTACTTGTTCTACAAGAGAAAACATGTAATGTATAGCTATATTTTAAATGGCGTAATTGTTTGCCCTTTAATGTCAGCACTGAGAAAATTAGAAATTGTATTCTTTTTTTTCTTATGCGAAGGCTATTTCACCAGGAACTCAGATTGGGAAAAACCTTTTAGAGCCTGATCGTTTTTCCCTCTTTCCTTTACTCTACTTTCACTCATATCCTCAGCAACATTACATTAACATTGTAATAAACCTTGTCAGCAATATAAACATACAGCATTGTAACCTGCTATTTTAACACCATAAACATCGTCTGCAATCTTGTTTCGGAAATTGACAAAGGTCGGCACATTTTCACACAGGATAGACAATGTTTCACACTGGTCTGCAGCAATCCAGCCTCTGTTACAGGGGCCATAATCTAAAGCCTAAACAAATGACAGGCCAAAACTAACTTTTCAGCAAAGGTTATGGAAAAGGCAGTTTATGATTAAACTGTCAAGGATCCAGTTTTTTTTGTTGTCTTTTTTCTGTCTCACTGAGAAGGCAGGTTCATACTGAGTGTAGCTACACTGTAGCAGTTTTGCACATCTCTTCAGGCTCATCATTGGAGCTTAAGAGGAGCTGTCTGCAGGTCATTCCACACCTGAGTGTATATCCTAAGGTTACCTGGTTTCTATCCTGTAAAAGGATCAAGCCATCTAGCTCCCCTTCACCATAACAGTAAATATTTGGAAATCAGGCTCCATGACCGACGACCCCTAGGCTAATAATTTCCTCTTTTTTCATAAGACTTCTACCCTCCAAAGAACCTCTTCCCATCTGTGTTAGACAGCTACCCTGGACCCTGATTACTTCCTCCTCATCACCAGACAAACTATGTTATGTTATTTATTTGTCCTCCTTCCACTAGTGATGTCCTCTAGAACTGCAGAAGCAATTTTATACTTTAACATTGCATTCTAATTCAGATATTTATACACATGGGTTAGAAAACCACCTAACAGAAATTGACTTCTTAAAAAATGAACTGGCTCTAATTAATTTTCTGTCAGTTTTTCAAACAGGGCGCAATAAATTGGTAAAGATTAGAACTGCTGTCTGTTTGAACAGGAAATATCCTTGATTTGGTGTAACTAAATCTCAGTACAGAGACTAAGAGGCCAGTTGAAACTGTCTGGTACTGAACTAAACTAGTCTAGATCTTATATTGCAGAACTGTTGCAATTTAGTAATAAAAAAAAAATCTATTAATGGCCCTTTCTTGTAGAAATCCCCATCCTTCATTCTGGGACAACTTTGACCTGTTATCTGCATTCCCTGATTGGATTGACATACCATATATATGTAGCCTGGGTGCCAGTCCGAACTTAGTCCCGCCCACAAGGTTTGAGTTCGGGGAAGTTCGGTCTGGCTCTGCTCCATAGTAGCGCGAGTATTAAAGCCCACTGTCAGGCGATCCAATCAAATTGTCAGGGCGGGCTTTATACGATGATGGACAGATGATCAAGAGTAACGTTATCAACCACGTGACCAATGCGCGCTTGGGTGACAACAATAATGGCTGCCGCTGGAGAGTTTAGGTGAGTAGATTCTGCTATTAGGTCTGTTCTAGAAGATATCGACAGCAAATTAATTTTAAAAGAGGAACAGAGAAACGCGATCAAGTCTCATCTTCTTTTTTTTTTTTTTTTTTTTTTTTTTTAAGTAGAGCAGAAAAACAGAAGAAGAAGAAGGAAAAAGAAAAAAACAGGACAAAAGATGAAAGAAAGAGGAGATAGGAAGGAGACAATGACAAAACATTTTCAGTCTGCTTCAACACCTGTAATGAGATGGAGAAAAAAAAAAAAAAAAAAAAAAAAAAAAAAAAGAACAGCACAACCAAAAAACATGGTACGAGATATACAATAAAGCAAACACCTTGAAACTATCACTAAAGTAATATTATTAAGTCTGACATGTACTCTGTGTTACCTGAAGATATGAATGTGGGGTTTCTGTTTGGAAGTGAATCTCTAAGTACCTGAAGCCTAGCACCTGTAGTTGTTTGTGAGGGTGAACTTGTGCATGTAAAGTTTTAACCATAGAAAAAAATGCTCAATAGTGGTTGTGGAGAGCCGGAGAGGCACACCCCCCAGAGCACTGAGTCCAGCGCCGGGAGACCCAAAGCCCCAGGCGCCCAAGGGGACCCCAGAAGCGAAGGCACCAAGGCGGGGCCAGCCCCGGAAATCAGACCCCACCAAGGCAGGAGGAGAGACAGCCACGAGGAAGCCCCCCAGCCACCGCCATGCCGGCGCCCCGGGGAGCCGCGGGGACGAGTCTGCGGGCCCCGCCGGCAGCCGGCCACCCCGAAGTAGGGCCGGGCGCCGAACACCAGCCCCCCCACGGCGCCGACCGAAACGCCCCAGCCCCACAGAGCACCGAAACACGCCCCGCCCCCCCGCACCAAGCCCCGGCGACCGGCCGCAACACCCACCGCGACCGCACCACCAAGGAAAACACTAAGGCGGCCCCGCCCCCGGCCGGGGCCCATGCGCATCCGCCGCGAACCGGCCACGAGCGCCGCGGGACCCCCCCCAAAACGCCCCCCCCGGCCAAAAGCGCAGCCCCACCCCACCAAGACCGATGCCAACAGCGCGCAACGAAACACACCGCGCACAGAATCAGCCCGAGAGCAGAAAAGCCGCCCGGCGCAAAACCGCAAGAGGAGCAGACCGCAGCCGGCGCAACCACCCCCCCCAGCAGCCCGAGGGGCAGCACAAAGCCAGAGCGGAGCGAACCGCGCCGCCCCCCCACCGGACGATGCCAAAGCAGCCCAGCCACGTCCGCCACACCCCCCGCAGCCCGCACCAGGCCCCGACACGCGGCCAGAGCAGCTCCGCCGCCCCGGCCCCCCACCACGCGCCGGTCATAGCCACCCCAGGCCCCCACCCGCCCCGCAGCCCCACCCGCCGCAATCAGTGGGAACAGAGCAGCCCCGCCATGCCTCCAGGAGGGAAAACCCACCCGAATACCCAGCCAGCGCAGCCAGCCCGCCCAGACCGGGCCCCCAACACTACCCCCGCCGGAGCCGCCCGGACCCCCACACACCAGCGGCGCGCCGCCAGCAGGACCCCCACCCAGCAGGCCCGCCTGCCCCCCGAGAAAACAGACATGCCAAACCCCCCAAAGAAATAAAGAGAAAAAAAAAAAAAAAAAAAAAAAAAAAAAAAAGGGGCCCCCACAATGCGACAGCGGACACCAGACACCGACCCGCCCGCAACCGCTCCCCCCCACCGAGGAAGAGAAAAAAAAAAAATAAATAAATAACAAATAAATAGGTAAATAAATAAATTAATTAATAATTACAATTAAAATAAATAGGCAAGAGGAGAAGTGCGAGCGGAAAAACCGGAGCCCAAAACAGGACCCAGTCTCATCTTCTTATTCTAGGCGTGAAACTGCACGCTTTGATTTTTGTGGACAACAACTATGCCTCGCTTAAGATACGTCACGCACTCCGTTGCTCTTATTGGTTGTAGGTCTATCCAATTGAGTGCAGAGGCATTTTTTTTCCTGGTTCGTTCAAAACACGCCCCATAATCACAGCTCTATGGAGCAGTATCAGACTCATATTCTGACTAGAATTGAGTCGGACTACGTCAGGCTAATATATATGCTGGTGATAAAGTAAATACCTCTAATTTACCAAATCACTCCAATATATTTATTTTTTCAAACAAAAATAATGACTACAAAAACAGGAGACCGAATAGGTTGGTTTCAGTTTGGAGAGAAATGCATCATATCAGGTCCTTTGTCAAATAATGGCTTTTAGTCCCTTTGTAAAGAGATCATTTCCAAATTGGCCTGAAAGGGTTATAATCGGGGGATTAAATTTAATTTTAAAGTTGCTTATCAGGTCTGTGCTTTCAGGACCAGCAGACCCTAAAAACTTCTGTCAGTCAATGAGCCTGATAAACTCTGTGCAGAGAGACATACTTCCCTCCATGCTTCTTTTCTTTACAGTTCGATGTTTTGCAGTTCTTGTTGTTTTTACATCTCTTTGCAGGTGGTGAAGCAGACTGGAGATGTTTTATCATTATCTCCCTTTTATCTACTCTTTCTTTCATCTTTTCCCCTTTTTTTGTTTTTCATTTCCTGTACTACGTACATTGCAGTGTCCATATAATCTGTAATATTCCCTGCATTAATTATAACAAAGCAATTTATATGCATAAATCAAGTAGAACACTATGGCGATAGCAGTACTGCTCCTCTTGTGAAAGTTAAATCTGTTGGGCTCTTTTTGGCATCAAGACAATTATTCTTATTGCCACATTGCCATATGGAACACTGTAAAAAATAATACAAAATAAAGATGTTTTGCAGTTCTACTACCCATGTGATGCATGAAGTTAAATTAGGTTAAGCATACAGCACGGCAAATCACATACTTTGATGTTTTCAGCTAGGACCTGCTGACTGTGGTTGGATTGTACTTCCACACAACAGATGTCATACGAACCAAGACAATGGATGTTAATAAGAAAATAAATCTTGTCTTTTAGATTATTGTCACTACATAAAGGAAAATAAATGATTGATCCTTGCTCTGTTGCCTAATAGTAAGGAAATAGAAACATTACTAGTTCTGGGATTTATGATTGGGATCAACTAATGTGAACCTTTTTGTTCATCCAGAACATGTTCCCTTTTTTACTCTGTGTACAGTAAAGGGAACGTGTGAGGCAGCATTTAGCTCTGAGATGTGCAGAAACTACGTCAGTACATCGGGAATTATAATATTATTATTAATTGTAGTTTTCTGACTTAGTTTAAAATGTATTCAGTTAATTTCACTTAAATTTAATTTCAATTTTTTAAAGTTTTACCTTCATTTGAGCATTATTCTTGGTTTTTAATGTAATGTTTACTTTTAGTTAGCTTCCTTCAAGGTACACTGAATTACATTGCTTATGGATAGTGCTATGAAAAAATAACTTGCTTTAGTTTGTGCAAAAAAGTCTAGTTTTTGTGTCATGCCTCCTGCTACCTTTAAACAACAAGCAGTCTCATTTTAAACCCTCTTGTGCTTCAGTGCTGTTTGTTACAATGGCACAGCTGAACTTGAAAGCATACGTAGAATATGGTTGTTACCTGTGGTGTTAAAGCCAAACAGCAAGGGACAAGAGACTGCGAAAGCAAGGACCCACACTGTAGCAATCATGGCAAAGACTCTTTTCCTCGACCGATGAGTTGTGTTGTACAAGACTGGCATTACCACTGCTGTGTACCTGGGTACAAAAACACACGCAGGGGAAAAAGTTTGAGCTTACAGGGAGAAAAGATTGTCACATTCAGGTACAGGACTATAAAGGACAGAAGAGAGTAAAAATACCTATCCCCCTTTCAAAAAAAAATGTTGGTCTTTGGGATCCTTTGAAATATGCGGAGAGAAAGCTGTAGATAATATAAAGACCAAAACCTAGACTCTACAGGGACTCCGGTTTAATAATTAATCAGTGTGCTATATATGCCACAAGTGCATAAGGAGCACTGGGTAATAGCAAAATAGGGAGAGAAAAAAAATTTGATTACGCTATAAAAAATTGCAATTGTATTGGAGCTCAACCTCAAGTTGGTGCAGCATTGTGTTGTTTAGAGCCAGATGACTGCCAATGTTATTTATTCTCAAATGATTACTCTGAACCTGCTCTGAGTAGAAAATGGAAAGTTAAGCCCACATTGGCACCAACTCTTTGTTCATTCTTTTACTACCCTTGTTGCCAAGGTTTCGCCAGGTTAAAAGGTGTTTGGTTAATTGCAAAGCACAAGGCTTATGATTTATTTTACAATAAGTGGTTCTACTCTAAGACAGAAATCTCTTTTGCTCTAAATTAACTTCACCTCTGACTGGATCCAATAATAATCAAAATTGTTGTGTGTATTTCTTTCTGTCTAACAGTCTCACAGTATCTATTGTTATAAACATATTAATATACAACAGGGTTTTTAAGGTATTACTTATGACCAGTGGCAACAAATGCTCCTAATGACACAAAACTGCACAATTATGCTATGGGAGCAAGATTGACTCACACAATAATCAATCACAGAAAATTGTCCCAAATAATCACACCTCTCTGGTGTAAATTAACTGGTTGTAAAAGGTGAGAGGGTGTCTAACAATACACAATTACACAAACAAAAAGCAAAAAGAAAAATTCTCCAGCTAATCTGTGTTGGTGATTAATACCTTGATAAAACAGTTAATTTCCCCTCTATTTCTATTCTATTTCTATTTGTTAAATCTGTCTGTCATTGACTTTAGGAAACCTGCCCAATGAGAGAAAAGGAGAGGAAGGTTTGAGACTACATGATTACTGACATACGAACAGCTTAAGTAAAGGATTTGCCTTTAGGCCTACCCATATTCTACTTTGAGTAAGTGCCATGATGCCTAACTTCAAAAGCCAATCGTATTTTGAAAAAGAAGGTTATATAACAGCATGCATGATTCTATCTAAACGTACCAATCTCTATATTTATTATTTTCGTTTTAAGGCTTTTTTTCTTCTTGTACTCAGGGTGGATAAAAGTAGCTCTGCACACTAAGCTGAGAGAGGGTACACCGTATAACCAACATGTAAGGATTTAGAAAAAGAAATAAAAAAAATTTGTAAATTTGTGCAAGTTGTAATGCATTGCTGGTAGTCCTAATCAATTTACAAAACAAGCTCGAATATAAACTGCACCTCGAGGAATACTAAAATAAATGCCACTTAGGAGGTTGCTAATTTTTTCAACCACCAGCAAGCTCCTGATATAACCCTGGATACATATTTGAAGAGTGTTCTAATTAAAAATAGTGGAGTTCATTTGAATATTTCAGTTTTCTGGGACATATCACACTTTTAAATTTACTTAAAAAACTTTTCTACATAGTTAAGGTCAAGTCTATTCCTTTGACTTAATGTTAGCATGTTTAATTTAATCCAAAAACAGAGGTATAAAAAGTATAGTCCAAAGAAAAAGTTGAAAAAGCCTTCAGAAAGCCTGAGGAGGTTTTTGATGAAGGATACTTTAAAATATTCCATTAGATTTTTAACATGGAAGCAAATTCAAAAGAAATCTCATACATTTTAGAAATGGGAATATTTGTCTTTAAAGCAGAAAGTTTTTAAACTGTAAAGTAAAAAAATGCAATAAAACTTTGTAGTAAATTAGGAGAACTTTTAGGGATTTTCTAATTAGAATTAGCTTATTTGATTGCTGAACCTCCTTTGAAACATTATTATAGAAAAAAACAAACTATGACCACTTTAATTTATGTATTTCTAAGCATTGCTGGGTAGATAAAACCATGCATACTTAACAGTCACTGCTGTACGCAGTTATCAAGAGCGGGAATATCATTATATTCAATGGGTTTTTAATTATGAGAAAACCAATCCCCTTTTTGTAGCCATTAGATGGTAAAAGACCAAAGCGCTTTACATTACATTCAGTCATTCACCTTTTGTGGATTAGTTAAATCCACAAAAGGACAAACTCCTGCATCCATCGTCAATGTTGCCCCAGACATGAGCAAAGTCGTAGGATCATTCTGGCTGGATATTTGAGGACTTTTTGATCAGTTACATACCTGATTACGCAAGGATTTTAAGCATTAGGGCTGGGTATTTTCGCCAAAGTCCTGAATTGATTAGATTTTGATACATACAGTTCTAAATCGATTAATTTCGATTCGATCGCTTTTTACAATAATGAAAGTTGTTCAACTGTGTTTCAAAATAATCACGTGTTTTATTTTCTTCCTGTCATATTAAACACAAAGTGCAAACTTGTAAATCGGACAGTTTAAACTTGAGATGTGAACAAACTGTCTCATAAGTGCAAACTTGTTTGTGAAAAGTAAAAAAGTGAAGCCTCATTCAAGCAGCAGATGTGACACAGTGGGGACACAGCAGACATGCATGGCTGCATTATCTCCACTGTGCAAACCACATGTGCAGCGTTGTCTGAAACAACTACAGGGTGTTTTCTGGTCAGCCCCCATTTGTTAATCACTTCAGTCAACCTATTGGCTATATTTGTAGCTGTCTGGCTTGAAGTCATCTTGAGTGCATCTTGAGTGCATCTTTCCTGCTCACGCGCGTCACTATAAAACAAATCGATCTCATTTCCTAGACATCGATTTAACAAAAATGTAAAGGAATCGATTCAAAATCGATTAAATCGATTTTTTTACCCAGCCCTATTAAGCATACTCTTTTTTTCAAAACATTTTTCAAAACCTTTTTTATTTGAATTTTGTTATTTGTCCAATTAAAACATCCAATTTTGTCTCAACCATCTGACCAACAAGTTGCCACCTTTAGGTGAAAGATTTTAATATTCACTACTGAAAACAATCAAATGTAAAACTGATCATAAACTGGAAGATGCTCAAACAATACTGTCACCGTCCACTAAGAGGTAGGTTGTATGTAAGATTTTAATCCTGATTCGCATTTCCCTTTGGGAAAAGGTTTTATTGATATTGATATCAGATGAGATAAAGTCTGAGCTGTTTTACACAAGGTAACAAAAAGGATGTCTGGAGACATTAGAGTAAGGCTTTAAAACCATTCATAACATTCATAACTGGGAGCTCCTTTGATGCATAAGATGCGTAGAATAATGTAGAACATCTACATTCTTTTAACTTTACTTAAAGCCAGCAGCTAAATGTGTCATAATCCTGGTTTGTTAACACTCAGTTTACATTCAGCTCTGCTCCTGGTGTCATTATCCCTCATTCTTCTCACCTGTGCAGCTCTGCATCTTCTCATCAGTGCTCATGCTTACCACCTGCTCCTCTGCCTATTTAACCAGACCTCATACCAGAGTGAGTAGATGTCTAGCGTTCCTTCCATGCCGGATTGACCTTGCTTTTGCCTCACAGATTCCATTAAATATATCCTGTCCAAGCCAAACTATTCTGAGCTTTTTCATTTCTGGACACTGACCTGGTTTTTGCCTTCTGACTTAAGATTCTCGCCTTTCCCCTCAGATACCTCCTGATTTAAACTCCTCAGCTCAAACCTGGTTCTGTCCCATGACCAACTACTGTAGTTCTGTTTTTTCTCTTCAGACTCCAAGAAAAGAATCTCCATCTAAGTGAGTTAACTTTTTTTTCTTCTGCCCAGTTATTTTATTTTTTTTTTGCTCAGTTCACTTTGATATACAACCCAGCCACTAACTACATCCCTGTTCCTGCTTATTGGGTCCCTGTTCACTTTGTACACTTTAATAAATTTGTTAAAAGTTATTGTGTCTAAATATTGGACCCTCGGTCTGCAACGTTACAAAATGGTTACAACCTGGAAACATGTATAAATAATTAGAAATGTATGTCAAAAATGGCTTTGAGATGAATTAATGAACAGAAAGAAAAATTAGAAATTGAATTTTATTGATGATAAAATAAAAAATACTTTATTGAACTTCAGTTATTTTTGATCTGGAACATGTAGAAAATGTTAATTTCTACATTTGAATTTTTTTTATATGCATGAAAGGTTGAATTTTTTTATATGCAGATTTTTTTAACACTTAAAAATTAAACTGAAAAATAAGTATTGAAAATGTAATCACTTTGAAAAAGTAATGTGAATTTTTAGCTTGAAGAGAAAATAAATAACATTTCAACTGTGTAGAAATAATGACAATAAATTTTTTTTTAGGCCAAAATGTGTTCTGATTATGTTTTAATACTGAAACAGTAAGTACAAACATACAACATTTAAATTTCAGTGGCATTTTTAATTCAAATCCCAGCGACACAGATTTACTACCATATGTTTATATTAAAATTATTCCACACTGAGAGAAGAGCTGCTCAAATTTTAACTAAAATAAACTCCCTGTAAGACAAGAACTCTCTATTTATTGTCAGTTAAGGAGGTTATTTTCATAAGCTAACACATGCAGAGCAAACCTGGGACTAAAGGGAGATTAACTGCTATGCAGTGTCATGGAAATGCACAGCTTCATCTGAAGCTTTCCTAACCGAATCCCTGATAGGAGCTGTATAAATAGATCCCTCAGCACCTCTGGGTCTTGCTTAGACCTTTATTAATTTTACTATTCTCTTGGTGCCTCTGGCCTGTAAGTTCAAAGACCTTCGAGAGACTTTAAATATCAACTGTGAGACAGGAAGGAAACTACACAAATAAATAATGTAAATATGCAGTCCACATCCAAAAGAAACTTTCATACACAAACACAAAAGGGAGGTGTGGGAAATTGCAATGTTCTCCATTTAAAGTAAAACAACCAGATCAAAGAAAACATAATCATAAAAAGTCACTATCCAGCATTAGACTTCAAAACATCCATCATCATGTGACATGAGAGGACTGAAAGATGTCATCAAAAGTCCCAGTAAATGCACTGAGGAGGTCCGCACTCACCTGTCAATGCTGATAGCGCACAGGTTGAGTATACTGGCAGTGCACATCATGACATCCAGCGTGACGAAGATGTTACAGTAGAGTCTGCTGAAAAGCCAGGCGCCGCCAACCACCTGCACAGGACAGACAGGCTGATTAACAGAGCCCGCATTTCTCTTCCTCTCCATCACCATGACGCACGGGTGAGTGCATTTCGTCGTGCAGGTGACAGAAGGCAGAGGGATTGGAAAAATGAACACACAAATGCAGGGTGTATCTTACGCACAAGCAAGCAGAAAAAACAAGCCATGGCTGCATTGTTTTGTTTCATATTTACTCACATACTCTTAAAATATATATTAGTATATAAATAAGTTTATTAAAACGAAAATGAAAGAAAAACAATCTAATGCGAGCTAAAACAATAGGGTGTGCAGTTGTATTCAGCCAAGATTTTAAAAAATGTCTTATTTCCTGATATTTTTTCCATAAAAGCTAGCTTTGTGTTTTGGAATAATAATACTTTTGATATCATCAAACTGTTTCACCCCAACTGTGGATAGCTTGATCATCTTCTATTACCATGGGCCTCACAGATGATTCACAGATTAATGCTCACCTTAACAGGCCCAGTCAATTTACGTGGATAGTGATGTCTTAGGAAATTTGGAAATGTGCGTCACACGCAGCGCCGTGTGCAGTGCCCTAGTGCTTGTAAATGTAATGGTCCAATGAAGGTAATTTAAAAAACAGGACATACAGACATGTCCTGGGAAATACGGACGTTTGGTCACCCTATTACTAACTATCAAATGCAAATAATGTAGTTCCAGTGCAACTTCTCTATTGCACACACTAAAAAAGGGGCAGGTTCTTGGTGCCCAATGTGAGAGTGCCCTTTAACAATAAATATTGAATATGTATAGAGATTTCATAATACACAAATACATTTTATCAAGTCAGTAAAGCTGGCCCTGCACCATGACAGTGATGTCACAGCTTACAGGTCCGTCATAAAACAAACTTCACTTTATAAACATTTTGTGACAGTCATATGTGTCCTGAAGCCTTTGCAAATAAAAATGTAAATCTTTCTCACTTCCTTTGTCCAACTTTTATCTAGTGTGTGCTCAAAATGCTCAGTTGCAAAAAAATCATGCCCTTTAAGACATCATGTGGGGGGGCGCTTCATCTAGCAGGCACAATATTTCTACCACTGACTCAAAGCATCCAAGCATATCCAAGCAGAACCTTATGGCGACAGTCATAATCATCTGCTGGTGAAAGCAAATCTGTTGGGCTATCATCTAGCTCTAGGACATCAATTCTGAGAGCTATATTGGGAAAAGCCCCCCTCTCCCCCTTTGTTTTCAGACATGTTGAAAAAATCGTGGTGTTAGTGCACTGGCTGAGGTTGCTAAAGATCGCAAGATGCGCCCCAGAACTACCATCCATGTTTACTGCCATGCATTATGTCCTCTACTGTGCACGCAGGACACTAAAGTGGTATGAATGCAGTTCACACAGGAGATCAGATACAAAACGCCTATTTTAGGAAATATGAACAACCATGCAAAATAATTGCTTTTCACAAAAATATTAGAATTAAGCATTAATGCCTGCAGTATGAACAGAGCTTAAGAGACCTCTGAGACCTTTAAAGAGCAGTTGATTAATAATCAGATTAAATTACACACAGGTGGACTATTTACTAAATAGGTGGTTTCTGAAGGCAGCTGGGTGTACTGTATTTTATTCTGGGGCGTTTCATTAATAATAGAAATTAATGCTAGACTATTTATATTTTTAGATGTATCCCTCACTTCACAAATATACACTATTTTGTGTTTAGCTACAGTATGATCCCTTTGAATATTGTGGTTGTAAAAGGATAATATATAAGATTTAAAGGGGTATGCATACATTTTCTAAGCCGTGGTATTGTAGTGGCCAGTGTAAGCTTTCTATAAAGGTGTTCTTTGATCCTCATGACTCTAAATCTAAATAAGAAAGTTAAAAGGAGGACTCTGACTTAAATTGCTCTCACTGCTTTCCATAAAAGGGGAACACAACACAGGCCAAACCAACAAGACCCTTATCTCCCACATCCCCACTCGGTAATGGCTGTCTGACAGAGACAGATGGGATCCAAACACTATCACCTCATTAACAAATCTCCCAAATCAGAGATGAGAGTGCATACCTTTCTGCACAGGGAGGTGGCAGGCACACATGAGAATACAAACATGCCCATATAACAGTGTAAATAGACAAGAATCTCTCTCTTATTTGCAGTATGAGATTTTGTAGTGCAAGGCCTTTTTTTAAAGTAAAACTAACACAGAGATGATTTTTTTATTTCTCTTTACATCTTTTCCATTTGACTGTTTCTTTCAACTGGTAAAATGCAGTATTATCATCATCAGCATGTCAGGAAAAACACAAAACAGAAAGTGATTTTTTTTTCTCTTACTTAAAAAAAAAAATGATAAATATTAGAAAAACAGGTAAAGTACAGAGAAATATCTATAACAAAAAAATGTATAGGCCTCAAAACAAAACCCCTGTACATCTAGTAAATTACTCAAATACATATACATACTGTATATATGGACTGTGCTACCTTTACCATCTCTCAGGAGTTTGGAGCTCACCGTTTTCCCAATGGCAAGAGACAGAAAAAAAAGAGCTTACAGAAATTGATTCTCACAGTTTATAAATTACACCCTAAATTTTTTACAATCTGTGAGTAGGGTTTTTTTAAAGAGTGCCGAAGGATGTGTAAGGAACATCCTCTCCCTGCCTGTGTGACTTACTGTTGCCGAGTGTATTTCTAATCTGGGGCACCCACACTAGATTTCGCTATGCATGACTGATTTTTTTTTTTTATCATCTTATGTCTCGTTTGATCTTTTATTTTAAAAATCTGACGTGGAGAGTACACTTCCATTGCCTGGTGGTTTATAGAGGCTGCCGTTGCTAAACTTATTTTGGGATTCTTTGAAAAATGTTATAGAAGAACATACCTTATCTGTTAGAGAATGCGGGTGTTTCCAATGTGCTATATTCAGATATACTGATTGAAAGATGTGGGGCAAATCAAAAGGAAAACAAATGTCTGTGAATATTCAGGGTGGATAGCTTTGAAGGCTGGTAGTTACGCCATGATTAGAAATTTTGAGGTGGAGGATTTTTAACTCCCCTCATCAACAGAGGTTAAGGGAGGCTTTTGTGAACCTAATGGGCCAAAGCCTTAAAACTTCAAGCCACTTGCTTCGAGACGGTATCTCAGCAATGCCAGAAGCTTGTGCTGCCTTTCCTGTTGACGCAGGATAACTCGCTACTAAGGCAAATGTGTGGGTATGTTCTATTATAACCTGGACAGGGAGCTATGGTGATTGATTCCTTTAGCTGCGGGGTAATTGTGTAACAGCAGGTACTGTTTTGACAAATAGGAAAATTCAGCTGTAATAACAACCGTTCAGCCACTTTGTCAGTAATGAGACAATCATTGCAAAACAAAAAAAAATCTCACTGGGTTAAGTTCAATTTAAGTGCCAGTATACAGATTAGATTATAAGTGGTGATTTGTAGAGTAATTTGTTATTAATAGATCACCTCACACCTCTGCTGAAAAGCTTTGGGAAGATGCTCCTTTTTTCCCCCCATTCACCTGCACTTTGGTACCTATCACAAAATCTCATCTCCTGCTTTAACAACCATTGTTTCTAAAAGGGCAGCAAACTAAGCTACATTTAATGTCCATAGGGAATCCATGATGTATTGCTAAGAGGAAGATGAGAAATACCAGACAATACAGCTTTCTGTACTTTAAAAACTTTAGAGGCACAATTCACAGACACCATATAGCCTACTCTGACTATTAAGCAAGGATGCAGAAATCAATGGAAATGCTTCTCAAATGATTCAGAAATGACCTGAAAAAAAAGCATGACTTAGTATTTCTCCATAAACACCTGACAAGCATTGATAAGGATTCTCTGCTGATTGCTTGGAATAATGGCAGCTTTATGTTTTCTTATCCATTCAGATATTGAGGGTCCCATTTAGGGCATTCAAAATTTATTTTCACAAGTTTTGTTGAAAATAAATAATAAAAAAAGATATGAATGAAGTAGTGTTGTTATTGTAAAAGTAATTAATGTTGAATTAGTAAAAACATACTTTTTAAAATGGGGATCGATTTAAAGAAACACCTTTTTTCAAACATTTTAAATACAGCGTCATACAGGGAAAACTGTACTGTAAAAATATCTGCTTAAATCCACTTTTAATAATTGTATTTTATCTAAAATAAAACCCACTTATTTCAAACATATAATTTTGTTCTTACGAAGCATAATGTTACATCCCCAAGTTGGATTTCTTTGTTCTTGCATCAAATTAACACCTTGCTCTGTTTAGGCTCTGCCTTTAAGACTGGCTGCTGCTTCCTGAGTCTGTCCAATCAAGATCACCTGAAGACTATTTAAGGCCTGTGAAGCAGTACTTCAGGGCCTCTGAGCCATTTGTCTGCCATACACCTCTGTGTTCCTTGTTGAATCTAACGGGCTGTTAAGTAAACCTGCTTGGATGTTTTTTTGTAGGGGAGAGCTGCCCTTTTGTTTAACCCCAGTTTTCTCCTGTTTATGTGTTGGGTAGGTAGGTTATTTTGTAGGTTTGTATATTTTGGTAACAATAAAAAAAATACCTTGTCAGCATTACTAAATATAAGATTACCAAGTGTGCTAAAATTTGAGGCGATTAATTCAAAATTTAAACACATAGTTGGCTAATAAAATTTAAATCTCAGACTGGTTTAGGTGTGCTATACTGCAACACGACACTGACAGCCTTCTCACTCTTCTGTTCAGCAGAGCCTCAACTTCCTGCTCTTCTATGCTTAATTACAGGAGTTGGAATACTCTTGTGTGAAAGCTGGGTGTCCAGCTGCAGCCAATCTACAATCAAGCTCCAAGAAAAGGCCCCTGCTCTGCACACAGCTTGCTGCAAAATTGTAGCTGGAAATTGACGCTGTTAGTCATGCTTTGACTACATTCTTGGTTTTGCAGCTCTGCTGGCACTTTGATTATTAATCCTTGGTCTTTTTTGTTTGCTGTGTCTCTGCTTAATT